CAAGAAAAATACAAAATTAGGCCAAAACCCGAAATTGGCTCAAACCCGGGCCCTGGGCCCACGTCTCGAAATCCAAAAAAAATTACAAAACTAGAAAGCCCATTTACTCACTAGTCCATACATATGAAATTTATCCAAATCCGACATCATTTGGTCCCTCGAATCCTTAAATTAACTCTTAAAAATTCCAAGCCCTAACCCCTCATTTTCACTAATTACATTATTAAACAACAGGAAATCACCAGATATACGAGTATTAGGGCTCAAGAAACTTACCTCACTGATAGCCCTTGAATCACCTTTCGAAAATCACTCCAAAAGCTCCAAAAACCGACTTGAAAATGGTGGAAATGAACCAAATTCGCGAAGGGTTCTATTTATGGTTTTTGCCCAGGTTTTTCGCACCCGCAGGCGATTTCACGCTTTTGTGCCACCGCACCTGCGGTCCAAACAACCGCACCTGCACAAGTCACTTAAACGCCCGGACTCCGCACATGCGCTCCATTTCCGCATCTGTGACCACGCAGGTGCGGAAATTACCTCGCACCTGCGGCCAGTGCCTGACTTCCTCACTTCCGCTTCTGCGACCTCTTGTGCGCTTCTGCGGCCTCGCAGGTGCGGGAACTTCATCGCACCTGTGCCTTTTGCCCAGCTCCTCCAATCTCGCATCTGCGACATCCCGCTCACTTCTACGGGCTCGCACCTATGATGAGACATCCGCAGGTGTGATTATGACAGCTGAGTTCCAACTTCAGCAATCCTCCAATATTCGAACTTGTTCCGCTAATCTCCCAAAATCCACCCGAGGCCCTCGGGACCTCAACCAAAGATGCCAACAAGTCATATATCAACATACAAACTTAGTCGAACCTTCAAATCACTCAAAACAACATCAAAACACCAAATTACCCTCGGATTCAAGCCTAAGAACTTCTAAATTTCTAAATTCGGCAACCGATGCCGAAACTAACCAAACCACGTCCGAATGACCTCAAAATTTGCACACACGTCACAAATGACACTACGAACCTACTCCAACTTCCGAAATTCCATTCCAACCCCGATATCAAATTTTCCACTGCCGACCGAAATCGCCAAATTTCCAACTTTCGCCAATCCAAGGCTAATTCTACTACGGACCTCCAAATCACATTCCGGACGCACTCCTAAATCCAAAATCACCTAACGAAGCTAATGGAACCATCCAAATTAAATTCCGAGATCGTTTACATATAGGTCAATATCCGGTTGATTTTTTCAACTTAAGCTTCTACTTTAGAGACTAAGTATCTCATTCCACTCTGAAATCACTCCGGACCCGAACCAACTAACCTGGTATATCATAATATAGCTTAAGAGCATAAAGGAAACAGAAATGGGGGAAACGGGTCTATAACTCTCAAAATGACCGACAGGGTCGTTACATAGTGCGGCTGATAAGGTGCACCTAGATCCGCACACGAAAAACATGTGCAGAGAGTAGCATGAGTACACCACAATCGGTACCCGGTAAGTGCCAAGCCCAACCTCGGTCGAGTAGTGATGAGGTCAGGTCGGGGCCCTACTGGTAAATATATATAATGAAACAATATAGGGTGTAATATCGCAATAACATAAAGGCTGGAATTTAACAACAATGAAATCATAGAAGGTAACAGCTCAATACACAGAAACACAATAGGAGATCTCTCGAGATACCGTCTCGTAGTCCCAAACATAAATGTGCAGGGGGATCTCCCGGAATACCATTCCGTAGTCCCAAAGTAAATGTGCAGGGGGATCTCCCGGAATACCGTTCCGTAGTCCTAAAGTAAATATGCAAGACATGGGGGGATCTCCCGGAATACTGTTTTGTAGTCCCAAAGTAAATATGCAGTACAGGGGGATCTCCCGGAATACCGTACTGTAGTCCCAAAGTAAATATGCAGCGCAAACAATAGAAATGCAACTATATCACGAAATCTTACGATTTAGACTAAGTACCAGTCGGGGAAGAAGCAGGAAATTCACTAAGCATGTTGCACAGAGTTCACATAGGCAATTAAGACACGTAGACATGTTGTATTAGACTAAACAGGATAGCTACGCAAATGGGAATAACTCAATTAAGAATGAAAATAGATTAATACTCATAAAAATGGTATAACTCAAAATAAAAGGAAAATGGGTTGCTGCTCAGTAAGAAAACCGGGTTTTTCCACAACTAGCACGCGTCACCTCACGTACACGGCACTCACATATCACAATAGTTCCAAATCTTAAGGGGATTTCTCTCACATAAAGTTAGGCAAGTCACTTACCTCGAACCAAGCTCAATCAATCGGTCACAATGCCTTTCCCATGAATATCCAGCTCTGAATGGTCCAAATCTAGCCAAAAGTAATTACATATCATAAATACAACAATAATAGACTCATCTAATTAACGAAATAAACATTTTAAAGAAAATTTCAAAATTAACTCAAAAATCGCTCGTGGGGCCCACGTCTCGGAATCAGGTAGAAGTCATAAAATACGAAAGCACGTTCACTCACGAGTCTAACCATATCAAATTTACTAAAATCTGACACCAAATGGTCCTCCAAATCCACAAATCAAACTTCCAAATCTCTAACCTCCAATTCCCAATTTTCACCTTAAATACACACTAACTAGGTGGGAAAATACATGGGGAAGTAAGATTATTGATCAAAAATAAGCACAAGGGACTTACCTCAAGCAACCCCTCAAAATACTCTCAAGAAATCGCCAAACCCGAGCTTAAAATGTTGAAAATGAGCAAAAATCGCGAACACTTGCATTTAAGTGTTCTGTTCAGACATTTCGCACATGCGGACTCTCTGTCACATCTGCGACTATCGCAGGTGCAGAAATGCATCGCACTTGCGGCTTCCCTTCGCACCTGCGCCCTAGCTGCCTGCATCTGCGACTCTCGCAGGTGGGGGAAATCTTCATACCTGCGGTTCCTGCCCAACTCCATCTTGACTGCATCTGCGGCTCCTCCTTCGCACATGCGATCCCGCACCTGCGGTCTCCTCTCCGCGGGTGCGAAAACACCAGAAACCAGAAAATCTTCAGCAACTAGCCTAAGTCCAAATTCAATCCGTTAAGCATCTGGAACACACCCGAGGCTCCCGGGACCTCAACCAAACATACCAACAAGTCCTAAAACACCATATGAACTTAGTCGATCCCTCAAATCACATCAAATAACGCTAAAATCATGAATCACCCTCCAATTCAAACTTAAAGAACTTCAAACTTTAAAATTCTACAACTGATGCCGAAACCTATCAAACCACGTCCGATTGACCCCAAATTTTACACACAAGTCATATTCAACATTACGGACCTACTCCAACTTCTAGAATCGGAATCCGACCCCGATATCAAAAATTCTACTACCGGCCCAAAAACTCCAAAAATTCGACTTTCGCCATTTCCAACCTAAATGAGCTACGGACCTCTAAAATACAATCTGGACACGCTCCTAAGTCCAAAATCACCCAACGGAGCTAATGGAATCGAAAGAACTCCATTCTGGAGTCGTCTTCACACAGTTCCAACTATGGTCAAAATCCTAAGACTTAAGCTCCCGTTTTAGGGACTAAGTGTCCTAAAACACTCCAAAAACCAAAACGAAACCTCCCGGCAAGTCACATTAGCAGAAATAGATATGGGAGAAGCAGTAAATAGGGGATCGGGGCTATTACTCTCAAAACGACCGGTAGGATCGTTACAGTAGTGTGTACGCAGACATTACCCCTACCCTGAGGGAGTAGAGAGGCTTATAAAGAAAGAATACTAATATATTAAAAATAAAAAATAATGAAAAAAGAGTTTCAAGCGATAGCGTAAAAATGTACATACTAATTAAATTTCTCATGTAGGAAATTTTAATTAATAAATAGAACTCATAATGTAAAATGAAAAATACAAAAATATAAAGATACTATTAGGATATTATACATAAGATAGGCTTATTATATATATAACACAAATTAATAATTATTAAAAATATTGGTAGGTTTTTTATAAAAATAATAAAAGAATTAGCTCTTTATACTTTTGATAAATTTAAAATTATAATTTAGTAAAAAATATTACATTATTTAAATTTTTAATAAACTACAAAATGAGAAAATTAATCAAATATTACAACAGAAAAGAATGTACGAAATTAGGGGGATAAAATAATTTTACGATAATTATATTTTGAATTAATTTAAAAACAAAAGATAGATATATAATACTCAAAAAGTTATTGATAAATTTAGACGATTGAAGAATTTTGAACAGTATAACATAAGTTTTAAAAAAATATAAATATTTTCAGAGTAATATATATATATNGACAAGTTAATAAAAAATTACATTAGTAAATGTATAGTACTATGTACTTTCTAATTTAAAGAATAAATAAGGAGCAAACAATATATTTGATTACTATATGATGTGTATCCTTTGATTTTGTATAGATTTTGTTATATTTCTGCATACTGCATTAAATAATAAAATAAAAACTAAAATATTTTTATTTAAATAATATGATATATTAGATCACAATTTTATAAGATTAATATTCTGTCAAATTATCCGTGCATTGCGCAGGTTCTAACACTAGTTTGAGAGAAAAAATAGAAACAGTTTTCTATGGGGTTGATTTTTGTTCCGCTGAATTTTACGAATATTTATTTGAAAGCTATTATGATATATTGATATTTAGTTGCCTTGGATGATAATTAACTAATGTTGCTATAATTTTGTAATTTTTTTAAAATATTGCCTAGTTATGTTTTTTTGTGTAAACACATACGTAGATGTCCAGTTTTACTTGTTCAATTTGAAAAACCAAGACATAATGTATCACTTAATTCCTAATTTATCCTTATTAATTACTTTAATCATTTCTAATGTATTTCTCAAAGCAGTGAATATTATATTCAAAGGATGATATATTAAACTAATTACTTCTTAAGGAGTGTGCCAAGTCAAATATGGACAAGTAAAAACGGAGAAAGTATTATGAATGGCTTGGTGTAAACACGCAAATTTTTATCTTTCACATTTTATAAAAGCGGTATTCGGGGTAGTTTGTCAACTCACACTTGGCTCAACTGCTATTATATCAATTAAAGCTCAGGAAGGCGAAACAGCAAGAGGATTCAACAAAGTGCCCACGAACAAAACAACACCAGCAGTCTCATCTTTCACAAGGAACATGAAGGGATGATCAGCAACAAAGTCTATCTCCTCTTCAACCTTCATCATCGAGCACCCGAACATCATTGTAGCAACAGTAACAGCTGGAGCTACTGGAGCCTCCTCATTTACTTCGATAAAGGCCTTGTGAAAAGCTTTTGCAGCTGGAGCTTCTGCACCTTCCTCATTTACTTCAATAAAGGCCTTGTGAAAAACGTTTGCAACTGCCAGAGGATAATTCTCGCCCACCATCTCAGTGAGACCACCTTTAAAAGGTAATGTGAGCTCGAGTCCTTTTAGAACTTCTAAAGCTTCAATCCCCAAAGATATTTTGAACTTAGGGATAAGAAACTCGTGCACTTTAACTTTTTCATATGGAACATGGCGATCCAAAAATCCAGGTTCCGAACTAATTTTCTCCAGTAAAGTTGGTAATCCATCACGGGCATTTGGGAGATACACATACATGTTGAGAAATCGCTTGTCCTCGCCCTGTTTATAACGAAGCCTTAACACTTGGAAACCATCAAAGGCCTTCACGTATTGCCTTTTTTTGCTGGTCATTAAGGGTGCTTGAACAGATCCTCCATTAAGGAGATGGAACTCATGGTCTTTTGTATCTGAAGCATTCAACTTTTCAGTCCATGCTCCTTTGAAATATAGTGCATTCGCTAAGATCAGACTTGTACCGCTATTGACTGCAACAGGAGGAAGAATTTGTTTGATAAGACCATTCGTTTTCTCTTCAGCCCACTTATTGACTTCACCAGTAACCTCATCACCCTACATAAGAAAAATTAAAACAAACAGAGAACATAGAATCAGCAGGCTAGTAACAGGATAGAGTTGAAAGTAAAAGAAACAAAAAAGATGTCCTATATGACATTAGATTCGTTTGTTTGTAATCTTATTCGAAAAGCATAATAAACGTTTCTAATGTGCTTACTAATTTGAAAATATTCTGTTTACCAACATGCCCATAATATTTTGTTATACATTATAATACTCCCTTTGTTTCGTACTTCGAGGGTCAAACTTTTCAATTTTAACCGTGAATTCGAACATGAAATTTTAATTTTTGACATAAAAGTCACATATTTAGAGACTGTAAAAGTAATATAAGTCATTTATAAGGAATATAAGAAAAATCGCAGTCAAGAAAAACTCGACTCTCGAAATCCAAAAGGTGTCACATAAATTGGGATGGAGGGAGTATCATGTAATTTCAAACATCAATTTCTTTTCTAGTGAGTGAAGGATTAAGACTAACCTTGTTCCGAAAATCAACAGAAGCCGAAGCAGCCTTATAAACATTGTCCATAACCTGTTTGAAAGAATGCTTAAAAGACAAAGATTGGTCAACCCAGGCCCAATTAGTGACAGACAAACGAGGACCTCCCATGGGGCTGCCATCGGCTAAGACGTCGGTGATGACCCGAGAATAAACAGAGTTAAGTTCTTCAACAGAGTTGAATTTGAGAAAAGCCAACAGTTGATCCAATGTGGAACCACTGGAGCCTGCTGCAATAAGAGCAAAAATTATTTGAATGGAGACCGGGGAAAACACCATGTTTGCGTTGTTGGACTCGTCCTCGTCGGCTTTAAACTTGCTGAAGAATACATGCTTTGAAAGAATCAATGGAACATCCATCATTTCTGATGAGGGAAACTAAAATTGAAACAGAGAACGTAAATCCATAAGATGAGGGAGACTGAAACTGAAACGGAGAACAGAAATCCATAATTTCTGATGAGGGGAACTGAAACTGAAACTGAAACGGAGAACGGAAATCCATAATTTCTGACGAGGGAAACTAAGGTACCTTCACAGTTGAACTTGACAGCATGGAGAGAATGCTGATGCATATAGAACTAACAGTCATGGTAGGCGACCACGAGTCATACAGAATATCTGCAAGACAGAAAATAGTTGTCAACTGCTGCTTTTATTAGATGCATTCTAACTTTTTTCATGAGTCCGGTAGAAAATCTTAATTATTAAAAAAAAAAACTTATTCTGGAAGATGAGAGGAATAACTGTGAATGAAAGGCGTTTTGCTTTCACTTTATTAGGCAGGTAACTATAGAAAGTTTAAGAGATTAATAAGCAAGCCATAGGCATAGAGCAGAAACCAAAATTATGCAGGAAAAGAAACTAGTATGATCTCTGCAATTCTTAGATGAAATGACAAATTTGACGAGACCCACAGACAAACAAAAAACAGATCCAAAGTTTATTCTACTAGGGCTAAGAGTTCTGAATCAGTAAACAACTGTGTTTTTTAATCATCCGTCAACCATCATTGACTATTACTCCATAATTAGATACGAATCAACAAATATTATCGGGACATGAAAGGGGAAAAGAATCAATAACAAAAACACCAAGACCAAGTAAAAAGCTCACGGATATAGCGAGACAATCTACCATCATACCCATCATCAACTAAGTTGGCATAGAGCATTTCCAAAACTATAATACCTGTCATCTAATCTTTATTAAGAGTTCATATCACAAATCATCCATAATTGCCAAGGATTTTCGTTAAATGCTTCATCTAATGCATTCTAAATCAAGCCATTAAGCTCGAAGAGTAACCAAATAAATAAATTTCTGTTGGTGATAAGAAATAGAGGAGACTTGAGCTGTTGAATAAATACCTAAACAAATGTGCCCGTCCCTATAGATATCAGGGTGCAAAGGAGCTGGAGGCAAAAATATCACCTGCATCAATGTAGTCAGCCCTAATTAGTATGATAGGAATTTCAATCAAGAACTTTAACAAGAAACCACATCTTATATCCACCTGGGGAGCTTTAATAGGATAATGTTCAGGGAATTCGGCTTGAAGCTGATAAGTTTCATTAGCATACAGCGTCCCAGGAGCACCATTCACTTCAATTAACCACCTTTTCAAAAATCAAAAGTTCAGTAATAATAGCATGGGACTTCGAATTCAATATTAGAAATTTATTGGAAAACGACAAAAAACTTAACAACAAACAGGAAAAATGAAGACCTTTGAAGATAATCGGAGGGTTCAAGATTGAAGCCAGACGGGGGATTGACCTGCCAGTTCCCTAGCTCTGTATGGAGTCGATTGCATGCCATCTCGCTTAGTGTCTGATTCTGAATTAAGTATAAAAATCAAAATCACGCATGAAATACGAGAAAACGATCAAAATGGTCCTTACAGCTTGTTTAGATGGTTGTTACCTGTCGTATTATATACAATGTTTGTTTTGATTGTTACTTAAATTTTATTGTATTGTATCGTTCAAATCTGTCGTTACGTAACGACAAAAAGTGCCACTTTATGGAACGACCAATTTGGTTTGGTCGCGTCGTTTCCTTATTTTTTCTCTCATCTTGCCTTTTTTTATTATTAAATAATCCTATTTTATTCTTTATCCTACCTTTTTATATAATAATATTACCTCGTACCTTACTTTTTCTTTATAATATTGCAAATTTATTCTTCATATTGTTGGTGCATGACATCATGAAACGACGGCAAACAATACAATCTAACTAAACATTGTATACATCAAAACGATACAGTAAAATACAATACAATACTATATGATACATTACGAAATGATACATAGCAACCATCCAAACAAGCTGTTAATGTATAGTGGGTGCTTTATTTTGGTCCTTGATTTATAGCCCTTGATTGATATAGTCCTTAATGTATGAAAAAGGTGATCAATTTGGTCCAAAAGCCTATTCTAACAAAGCCTAAAAAAAGTTTTTTGTTCATAACTCTTTGATTTTTGCTGACAATATCAAGGGGTATATTTTGATTTTCTCCATGAAAAATACCAAAAATTATGAAATGGGAATGGGGAGAAGAAGAAGAAGAAGAAAGAAAAACCTTGGGAGATGAGTGATCTTCGTCATCTGATGGAGCGTAGTGTAGGTTTTCTGGAGATGATGAATATGATTCTTGCGATGATTCAGATTCTGCTTCGGAAAAGGAAAATACAATATTAAACAAACATTATGAAATCACCAATTGTAGCAAATCCCACGGTGGATTCGCCATTGTAACGTGAAAGAGAAATTAAGAGAAAGAGAAAAGAAATTGAAAGATAAAATTCAGATTTTTCATTCAACATGCCTCGATAATTCTCTGCTTATAAAGAATATAAAGCAAGCCTATCAGGGGTAATAATGAAAATAGGTTATAAACTAAGGCTAAACTGTAATAGTAAAACTAAGGAGGGTCAAACTACAAATAATAAAACTTAGTCTATAGCTCCATCCATTACATTCCATCCCCCTTATAACAACCTTGTCCTCAAGGTTGGAAAAGTAAATGCCGGACAACCCACAAAAGAAGAGAAAGGTACTGCAGCAATTTGGCATTACATGGAGCTGAAGACACTTCATAGGCAATATTCTTGACCCCATAGGAGACCCAACAATTAATGTGCCATATCCCGGGTCAAAAATCAAAATTGTTTCCTCAAGTTTTTGTTTGAATCCATCAGTCAAGAAAGTAACAACGCCATGGTTTGCTTTTGCACAAAATATCACTAATAAGGAGCTAAGAGCAGATAGTCTTGCAACGTCTCCACTAACTTCTTTGCAAAGTCGAGCATCTTGAATAGCAGCACTATAAGTTCCTTCTAGTGAAGCTATCTGCCACCCACTTTTAGGGTGAGTATAACCAACAACTACCAAGACAATTGTGCTTCCACCACCAATGAACAATGAACAAACCAGTAGAACAGCAAACTCCACCACCAATTCTCCAGCTTTAACTAGTTCAAAAGCTTTGATTGAATTATTACCCCATTTGCAAATAGGAGAACACAGATCCCTCTTGAATGTTTCTGAACAAACCAATAAATTTTTCTTTCTTGAACTAATACATAATGACTGACAAAAGAAACAGAACCAATCGATAGCTGCTTGTTTTCCACCATCTCTTCAGCAAGGAATATAGCCTTCTTCGGGTAATCACAATGTGGATACACTTATTTAACCAAGCCTTCCATTTGCACCCGCAGAATTGGTCCAGAATTGCCCTTAACTTCAATCTCAGGATAGGCCACCTCTGAAGATAAAAGTTCTTGGCACGATTCAGGTCCTGCCAGTAGCTTCAAAATGCATTTGATTGTCGAGATGCTGCACAATTTGGAGTAATTGCAATAACATAAGGTGCCTCTAGTATAAGCACTTCTTTATCAATGAAAATCTTCTTTGAACACCTAAGGAATGCAGTACTGCCCATTGTGTAGCTCGCACACTTACAGGCCTTCACACAAGAGTTCCACAAAGGTATTTTGAACACATCCTCTAAGGAATGAACGGGTAGTAGTTCCTTCTTCATTGAAAATATTCCAATAAGCACCTGATTGCATATCTACTGTAGCAACATCTTCAACTATTAAGTTACTACCATACGCAAATCCATGGCTCTCATATCTTATGTTCCGCCTTAAAAATTGGCTAACAATAGCATTCTCACTCAAAAGTCCATAGCATTTTCCAGGATCAAATGTGAAAACTTGTTCCCCATCCAACCTAAAGGCAATAGCTTCAGCTACTACCTTTCCGTGATCATCTTCCCCAACAGCACATGACACCTCAACAGTAGTCAAGCAAACTGACATAACCTTAATGAGCTCGAAAGCATCTCTTAAACAACTAGCTCTACCAAGGAGATAAAACATGAAATCACAGTGAGCTACGTGAGGTTGAATACCACAATATATCTCTGTGATTTCAATCAAATGATGCCCATGTTTCTTGGTCTCTGGCATAGCACTTCTTATTCTTAAAACCCCTGTAGAAATCATCAATATCACGAGCCGGGACATTAAAGTTAAGCTGCACCAGAGGATTCCTTGCCTAATGGAAGTAACGATCAGTAGTGTAGAAACATTGTCAAGTTGATAAACAAGTTCATGTATAATGTAAACATGTGATCTCATAACAAGTTCCCACGCAATGCTGACAAGCTTCATCCCGTCACTTCGAAGGCCTTTATGCACCAAAAAGATTTTGCCATTATAGTTAAGGCCATCAGGATATGAAGGATTCCAGTGTTCAACTAGGGCATTCGACTGCTCCAAGATTGCTCCATTGTCAATATTTCTTGCAACTCCAACTTCGGCGTTCATTATGATTGAATACTTTACTTCAAACAACAGGTAAGGGATATCTCCCTAGACATGAAGGAAAAAATTCAATAACAAAATTACTTTGAGAACCAACCCCAGAAGTTGCAATATAGTTGATAACCAGATTTGCCACTGGCAACGCCACAATCTCATCCCTCCAAACATTCACCAGTAACTTTGTTTCTTGCACTGTGTCAAGCAAATCGCTATCTACATTCACTGGTATTATTATTTCTTGCCCTGTGTCAAAAAAATTACATTTAAACATGTCGAAATCACGTTGGAGCCACCAAATGTATGGATTATCACTGGACACTTCTTCAAAGATTTCTCCTAGACTTGAATCCTTAGCTATAGCTTCTTTTCGACTTACCACACTGTCACAAATCTCATAAACTAACTTCTCAAGAACCAGCTTAATTATCTCGAACCAACTTTTCAAATTGTTGTTGAAGTTCCTGTGAGTAATTACCTTGAGCCGTTTAATTTCGTTCAATTCCTCTCGCATGGATTTATCAACAATTGTTCCTCCATCGCTCTTTGAACCTTCCCTATCCTCATGAGCAGAACAAGAATCATATAAAGGAGTCTTCCAATTCTTTTCGGGACCAACGTCAAACATCTTACCTGCTTCATTTCCTGCAGGTCCCTTTTCATTTTTCACTTCCATTGGCGAATCCTTTTGACTAGCTCGATCAGAAGATTCCTCAGCATCCTTTGATTGAATATCCATATTCTCGTGTATAGCGTTGGCTCCTTTTCCCGACTCTTGCCTCAAGTCACTACCGTCACCACAGACCCCATCAATAAACAAATCAGAACCTACCACATCCACCATTATCTCTCTCTCCTCGTTTGCTGACTGAAGGTTAACCAGCGATTCTGTTTCGTTCTTTTGGGGCAATTTGTCGAACATCTGGTACTCACTATTTTCTGTATGTTCCTTTACTGAATCTTCATCTTCCATTGGAGGATGACTAGTCTCCAAATGATCATAACCCATTTCAATTCCACCCATTGATTCTAGAGGTGCTTTAAATAGTTGAAAATCCGTCTGCGAGAAATTGTTCTCCACATACTTAGCACCAGAGTTCAACAAGTGATCCAACCCAGCGGCAGTCATCCACACCACGGTGGATTCGCCATTGAAACGTGAAAGAGAAATTAAGAGAAAAAGAAAAGAAATCGAAAGATAAAAATTCAGATTTTTCAGTCAACATCGATAAAATATAAAGCAAGCTATCAGGGGTAATAATGAAAATAGGTTATAAACTAAGGCTAAACAAATACTAGTAAACTAAGGAGGGTCAAACTACAAATAATAAAACTTAGTCTATAGCCCCATCCATTACACCATTTTACCCTTAACCCCCCACCGCCGAAACCCCCCCCAAAAAAAAGACCACCCTAATAAAGGAGATATTTTATTACCGACTGGAGGCAACTCCGAAATGACGGTGAGGTCATGGGCTCTTGCGGCGATGAGCAGCTTCAACTTTACATTTACGGGCGGAGGGAATTCAGAGTCTATTAGAACAATAAAAGAATTCCCCAATCTCTCTATGCAGTCATTCAGTTCGTCTAAAGAGGAAATGGGAATAGCGGGAGGGACACCGTCTATTACTCGCCAGGGTAACCAGATTTGATGTTGTTGTGGTTCATCTGGTTCATCTGGCCAATTATAGGGTATACCGATTCCTTCAGCCATGAAGATGAAGAAGAAGAAGAAGAAGAAGAAGAAAAGTGATAATTTCTTCTTTAGCGGTTTTATCAGGTCTTTGTGAAAGGCTTGACGGAGCAATGGCTGTTGTTTATGCTGGAGCTTTACCTATTATTATCGATGTTTTGAATTCGTGCGATTCAAGGACAGCAAAGGAGCATTGTGTCTCATTGTTGCTGGTTTTGTGCATTAATGGTGGGGCAGATGCAGTTCCTGTTTTAGTAAAGAACTCATCTCTTATGGGACCTTTATATTCCCTCCTCGCCGATGGCACCTCTAGAGCAAGCAAGAGACCTCTTCTAGTGGCTTGATCTCTCCAGTTTTTATAGAGGATCAATTCATCAATGTGTGGTAATTATTATATTTTTTCCTTCTTTTTTTTTTGTTTATTTCGATTTTTACAAGCATCCATCATGTATATGTACACCATGGTGTAGGATGCTGTATTTTCCTTGACCGGTGATCTTGGCTCAAGTTATTAAGAGCTAGTCAGTACGCTTCTGCAGCTTCTGTTTTTTGAATGAAGCTTTGTATAACTTTACTTGTATCTTTACACTTTGTGATGTTAATGTGAATTGTTAGTATGTAAACATCAATCTTTGTACTCTTCAAGTGAATAAAAGAGCTTGCACTCTTTGACTAAATAATAAGTCTTGTTTTATCTGATTCAGTTGGCACAATCAGTATACTTGTTTTAACTTGATTGTTCTGTTACAATCCCCATGTAGGCACCTAATTAAGATCAAACTGTGTATTAGAGGAAAGTTATATCATTATACAATCTTAGGCAGAGGCAGATCTTCAGTGAGTTAAATGGAAACCATTGCTTTCCACTTGATCCATAAGTACTGTTACGCGGCGCCTCCCTGAAGTTCCTTGGAAGGGCGACGTAAGGCTAAGCAACCGATGTCNAGATGATAATGATTGGTCAGGCTTTTGTTAGCTGGGAGGTCTGTTCCCCTCGGTGTTGTGAGATGTCTTTCTAAATGATCTTCCATGCATTTCTGAAATGGCCTGAGGCGGCTGACATGGAAGACTGGATGGATTTTCCACCAGGCTGGTGTGTTCAGCTGGTATGTGGATTTCCCGATGCGCCTTTCAATGGAAAAAGGCCCGATGTAGCTTGGCAATAGGCGAGGATCTTGGGTCCTCTTTGCAAACAAGTTCCGCCTCGGGGTTCTTACCATCACTTTGTCCTCTGCTTGATGTTGGGCAAAGCGACGGTTTTGTTTGGCATGCCTCGTTGCCCTGTCTTGGGCACTGACAAGATAGCTCCGCACTATCTTCAAAGTTTG